GTCCAGCTTCAAACTTCTCGCTACCGAATCGATGATGCATACTCAGGGTAAACGTCGTTACGAGATTATTGCCGTAACCAGATTACTTTTCGGCGGAGCGGAAATCCGTGACCTTGCGTTTCATAAAATCTTGACAAGTAAACTTGACGATAGTCAAGGTCTGCACTTTCCTCGATATTCTAAATAATCAGCTAAGTATCGGTGCAAATCGTAGATGCAAAAAGTACCGTGTGTCTAATACAACATTACCTTGCTTTATTTCCGTGGTGTTCGAGGACCGTGGAATATGGAGTCGGATGACAGTGGACAGGAGACGTACTAACAGTTATCATTTATTACCATTAGTGCGATAGTAAATACTGTTACGATACATTGTACAGGAATGGTGTACGATCGGCCACGTAGTACAGGGTCGTTGTAATCATAAATTCTCTACCATAGTCGTCGATACCTTTCTACATGGTTACTCGAATGACAACGAGCTCGGGGTGAGCTCGTCCTCAATTCACGGCGAGTTAATACTATTGTCTCTCTGTATATAGCCTCCGGTCTTTCCGAAGAGTCGACATTTTCTCGGTGTAACAATTTCCGCGACGATGCTCCCTTGCGATCCATAATCATCGCCGGATGGCAAGGAGGAGTGTAAAAAATATACAAAAAGTGACGAGCGATTTTGGCCGAAGTGGTAAAACCTACCGCGCGAAGAATCCCCAACGTTGAGATCGAATAAATTACATTTCCTGAAATCGTAAGTATTTTTGCCGGAGCTTTTACTTGGACATTACTAGAGAATTACTGAATATCAAATAATATGATCTTAAATAGTAATCAATTCATCGGGATTAATTTTTTTCTTTGTAATACTTTAGTTGTTGTTTTTTTTTTTTTTTTTTAGGTACTTTGTTTCATACAATTTATATATTTATATTCGAACTATTACAAAGGAAGAAATTAATGACGGTAGTCAATAATTCTTTAGGAATGTTCAAGCAGGGAAATGTATATTGTCACGTAAGAATTTCAAGGTATGGAACTCTGGTCATTTCGATTCTTATCAGGTTCGATTTTTTTTTTACAAGAACTCATTCTTATGTTAAGTTCAACGTTGGATTTTCCGTGGCGCACGTAAATTACGCAAAGGCACGCGGCTCACGATAATCGAACGACTGCCTCTCTCTCTCTCTCTCCAAGAACATGCTCACCGACGTGCTCTCGTAATTCACGCGTTTCTCCTTAATTCTAACGCCTCTATACTGGCAAGCTACCGTGTACGTTTATACACCTGTGTATACTCTATACTGATGCTATCGATAACAACCTGTACTCGAGCACAAAGGTACACAAGTACCCGAAAATGAATTCCTGTTTATATATTTGTATATAATAGAAATATTCACGAAACTATACCATTGAAGCAAATTAACATAAAAAATTGTAGCCTGATCATTATGCTTCTCATAATACAGGTGATTCGTACTTTAAGCTTCACTTTTCTCCACTTTTGGATGTATCAACAAAAATATTTGTATCAAGCTCCCTGAATAATAAACAACGATTAACACCTAACTTATCTTGTTCAAGATAACCAAATAATTCGCAGTACATTTTCCTTCTTAATTCCTATTTTCTATCACATTGAAAATCCACATAGTTTGTGTAGATTACGGTGGAGTGTATCCAGCCTTTGCTATCGAAAGGGTTAAGGGTTCAGGAGCCTAGCAAACACACCCTCGCACCCATTCACTTGAGCACGGACATCTTGAGGGTTGAAGGGTGCGAGTTTCCTTAGGAGCTCGAAGCTCTAATCGAATAATTAAAAAATAAACACAAGCAGCGAGCTTACGCGTACTCCGACGTTGTAAAGTAAAAATGCTAATCTCCGAATTGATCAGTGCCTTTCAAATTACGCGTATAATCCAACTTCCCCACTCATTACAAAGTAACTCTGTCTTATCGTTAAATTTTCGTCGCCATTCGAGTGCGAATGAAGTATTCGAGCCAGGTACTTTGCGGGGTACTCGAGTATCTCGGATATATCGATAGCATTACTCTACACGCTCCTCTTATTGTTCATACGCCAACAACTACTCTCAATAAATTATTTTAAGGCTACGGGTGTTCCTTAGCTTAGATTACGCTACCTATTCGACGAACTACATCGAGTGTTAAGTTAATGTACAGTGAGGGTCCGTCCAGCTATCAGCTCGAAGAATTTCAAAATTAATTCCTCTTCTGACAAGGCTTGCCATCCACAATCATAACCGATCGACTGTTGTAACTCTTTTGAACAAAATCTTGCTGATTATCGATACATTTTGATGGATTTGCACATTCCTTCCAAAGGGGGTTCCCTTTCGATGGGAATCTCGTAAGTAAAGCGAAAGGGTTGGCAACCCTACACGAATGACAGACGGGCGATAATAACATACACGCTTACAATTAGTGGTTAGAACAACATTATCATACGATCGCGATCTAACATCCGCTATAATTACACGTGATACAATAATGACGGGAGAATGTTATCTACAAGGACAAGATGGCGAGGGACGTTCAATGCGGGCGCAAACTGGTGACAGTCATAGATGTAACTTCATTCGGTGAACGAACTATCATATTAAATATTACACGACCTGCTGACACGGTCAACAAGTTGTTTTATTATCGAATGAATAATTATGAAATCTCCCCGTGGTTCCAATCATGCCATTTCGTACAAATTCAGCTCGACGACGCTATCTACCTCTGTCGACGGCTTCGTCGCGGCCGTGCTCGATCGTACGCGATCCATCGATCATCGAGCAGATCGAGTCGTGAGCATAAACGCGAAACCACGGGGTCCGACGAGCGGAAAAGCCACGCGGCGACTGTCACCGCGTCTCGTCGCGCATTGTTCGCCCGCGATTATACACAGCGAGGGGATTTATAACGAAATTACTGCTCGTTAATACACTAATTACACGGTGCCGTTCGCACGCTCGCATTGTCACGCAATTACTCGCGACACGCGAGTCTCGGCACAACATACACGCGAGCGTCCTCGAAGTCTCGATCTTTCCTTGTCGCGATGGAAGGGAAAGATTAAATAAATAATTAGCGACGAGAGCGATAAAGGTACGTAGCAAGCTGCTCGGGAAGGCATTCTTGTAGTCTAAAAAAAAAATCGATTTAGCGGAAACTGTTTCTCGTCGACGAAACTTCGACGACCTCGCGGTTCCACTCACGCTCACATCAAAACAGGAGGAACTAACGAGGTGATCGTGAAACGATCTGCTCTCGCTCGAAGATCTGCATTGCGCCTTGTAATTGTATAGTTTCACGTGATATATATGTACTTTATACAACAACAGATGTATCTCTCACACATCGTTCAAAAGGTATCACAAATTTTTACTTAGACAGGTGCCGACTACGGAGAGTTGTGAAAGATCATCCTACATCTACACCTCCATGTGGGTCAGATATCATCTCGTGGCAGAAAGCAGATCTGTATTTCTGGAACAGTTAGGCGTATCTTCGAGCGAGAGTCAGACGGTTTCGGGTACCATGAGCGATGGGTGCGCGGCTCTGTCTCCTGGATGCACCTGAAGAAACAACGACGATTATTACTCTACTCCTGTCTAACGCGTCGGCGACTACGCGCGCGTACGTGTGGTTCTAATGAAATATCAAACTCGAGTGCGAGGTATCTAACTCTACGTGGACGTAAGACGGTTTTTTTGTTTTACGCGGTGCATGCGATCCCACCGATGACTTCCGATGACGTGGCCACTGATCTAGAAATCAACGGGAGATTTTCTCGTAATATACTGTGAATTAAAAAAAAAAAAATAATAAAAATTCTCTCGCGAAAGACTTTTTCTGTTCTTTCGATGAGGTCAAATTTTTTGTAAAGCAACGAGTACAAGGATGTTGGCGCGAATCGATTGTTGCCAGCAGGTGACCGTGATTAATTCATCGGCACGAAAGCAAATGAATCTGTCGGCGAACGTCAACGGAAGTCACACCGAAAATGGCCCAGGAAAAACGTACTCCAGTCACTTTAGATTCGATTATAAAAATATTTTTATGAAGCCCATTCTCTGGACTCTCATCTAGTTACGCATAAACTACTAATTATACGAAAAAGACTCGAGCCATCTTTTTCATAGAAAATCTCCATATCTACATTTTTAGTAGTAACGACTATTATACAAAATCCGGTAGTTTTAAAGCTATCTATGAAAAAACTGACTTCCCGTCTATTATACGTTATATTCTACATATTTCTAAAGACTGATTTTTATGCAGAAAATGAGCTTCACAAAAAGTATTTCCATAATGTTTCAATCTAGAATGATTGGATTAATAGCAATCCTGCGCGTAGATCGCACGCGTTGCGAGAACCGAGGAGATTTCATCGGGGTCTCCATCTCGTTCCCCATTGTATACAATTCGGCACGTTGAACACCACATTTGGAAGGCATTTCAGAAGGCATTGAATTCCTAGAGCGTATTGTCACGAGTTGTCGTCCGATTATGCCCTGACCTACCTACGTATGACTTCGCGAGAGCGTGACTCGCGTAATGAAAAAAATACAAAAAAATAACGGAAAAAAATCCATCAAGAAAGAAGAATCGCCTCGCTGCTTATTACTCATCGTTCGATCGAACGGCGTCTGCACCTGTGCGTTTTCCGCGTAAAAATCGCAGGATTCCGTGGTATTACAAAGTACAAAAAGAAGGTTCCCTAATCCTAAACAGAGCTACGTGAACGATACTTCGTTGTGCTTGAGTTGAAAGGACCCACATGATCGCGAGGGCCCTACCGAGAGTAATTGCGACAGCGTCTATGAAAGTCTATTGCTTTGTTTTAAATCTAGTCATTAAAATCGGTTTTTGGCATTGCGGATATACGTATACTTTCCCACGAGTTTCGCTACTTTCCACAATCGGGAAAATTAGTTGCTGACGGCCACGCGACGTAACGAGGGCGTTCAATCTTTCACCCTCCCATGTTTGAAAACGAGTTTTGGAATATGTAGAACAAATGGAGAAGGTGGGTTTTTATCGGATGAGGTCCTCGCCAGATACATGAAATCGTTTGTATAAAAACGACGAGAACCTAAGATTGTTCTCGATAATCCGAACCTTCGTTTCGAGACAAGAATTTTTAGTAGTTTTGTTTAAATGTGAAAAATGCATGGCGAGTAACGAGAATCGATGCGGTCGTTGACGAGGCTACTGGTGCAAAACTAATTTAAAACTATAGTATGGTCTGGCACAGTTGTGCGTCTAATATTTTTATTAAATCTAAGGACTCCAGGGGTTCATTATACATAACTATCGTACCAGACTGAAAATTGTAGAGAACCCAAACGCAAAGTAGAGACGTTTAACAAAGATAATTGACTCTTTAAGGACAGGTGTTTTAAACGAGTTTAAAAGTAAACTGCTTACGCGAAATTTTAAATAAAATTGGAATTTTTCCTAAAACGATCTACATAATAAATTCAAACCTTATTTCATTATTGGAATGTTAACCCACACACTGTGGATCATTTGTCAGGTCTGTCGTCAAGGGATTAATCGCACGCTTGTACCAGGCTATATTACATTTAATTAAACACGCGCTTGTACCCGGATGATTGTAGGGTTTACATTCTGCGAGCAATAATCTTCGAAATTAAAAACAAAAAAAAGAATCCTAATGCCGCGCGCTAATAGGAACCAAGATTGCAGCCAGCAAATTTATGTTAAAGAAAGTTGATGCCGATGCAAATTTATGCTAAAGGAAATTGAAGTGCGATTGCTCGCGGCTCCGAGCATGCCCGATGAATAATGAAGCTGGGGCGATGCTAGGAAGAATGCGAGGAATTAATTGATCATCCATTCGTGTGTTCGATGATTGTGAACGCGGGTCAAGGTTGTTCCGATTTCTCCTCACTCCCTCAACAACTTACCGTGACTGTGAGGTCGCAAACTCATACGCGAACATATCCCAGATTTATCTCGAATTTTGTGGTCCTTACCTGGTCCCTCTAACTTTTTCTCTGTGTCTAAAATGACGAACAAATTAAACGAGCTACGGCGTGGAAGAGCCGAGTCGTTGCATAAAAGCAAACGGAAAGGGTTACCAGAGATTTTAATCATCTCAGGATCGTTGCTCGATATTTAACACCGACAGGGATCGCAACGCGAAAAATTCACCCCCGAACGACCTCGCCGGTGCCTGGCGCCGTTTATTAATAACAATTCGAACAAAGTAGCGTCTCGTATCGGCCGGGCATCGTCTCGTTAAATTCTCGTTTATAAATAACCGATCGGCCAGCTGCGTTTGACTGCGCGTCGCGTCTGTCATCTTTCGGCTCTATTTCCCTTGCAACGAATATGCACCGTTGCTATACTCGGATGAGCTTGGACAGGGATGAGCAAAATTTGTTATCTTCGCTGGCTACTTTAGCGACGTTCACTGTATATAAACCACTTCGCTAAAAATGTGGCTAATAAAACAAGACTTACGCTGTATTTTTGTTGTTCGAATAGAATTTTGCTCATCGCTGACACCAGGATATCAAGACCGACACCTCGACGGCGCAGAGTTCAGAGTAGGATTCGAACCCAAACCCGAACCGCGATGGAACGGAAGGGAGGGATTTCCCCATGGAGGCTCGAACCATGACGAGCCTCTATGAATATTTGTCGCTTCGCGTTGTTTTCTCTGCGCTACCATTGTGTTCTACCGAGACAATGAACTATTCAAAGTGACAGGCTCTGTTGGTACCGTTTGCTCCGGTGCCTGGTCCACGGGGACGCTCGTCTGCGGCGAGCAGCGCAACGGATTCTTGCTGGGAACTTTCTGGCGTCAAGGTCGACGACCTTCTGACGCAGACCTCGGCCTAGAGGTGGGCGAATCACTTGCCTAGATATATCTAGCGAGTAACGAGTAAAAAGTAAGGCATCCTTTGCTCGTGACTCGAATAGATATTAGGTGTATTTGTTATTTGAATAAAAACTGAAGTTCGAGTTATAAAATTAAATTATATTACGAACAGACACATACTTGAATTCTATTCGTTACCTTGGATATAGTTTTGCCCACCTCTATTAGATTACCCGAGGGATGGGGGATTTTAGGTCGAAGGTCATGGTAGCCTTGAGATTGGCGACCATTAGAATAGCAGAGGGTAGCAGAGCTATCGAGAACTCTCTAAAAGCGTTTCTGTTACAGACGGATAAATGGTCTCTCGTGAAGTTTCTGGCGATGAACCCAGTCACCAGAAACTGGCAAATCCCTGATTGCTAGATCTGACGTCGCTACCTCGGCGTCTGGTCTTCTCCACGCCTAAGCGACAACGTTCAGTTGCTTCGTATACAGTGTAGAGTTGGTCAGTCATTACTTTGCAGTTACTTCGTAGGTACTTTCATAACAATCACTCACAAATGTCAGAATAAACAGTGATCGTGGATAATCTACGATCGTAAATCAGTGATTCGCAATTCTTCAGACCTGTCGTGTCTGAATGATAACAGTTCTGGTCGAAGTTCACGGAGCAAGAACGAGGTAGCTCTCGCGGGGTGTTGAACAGTCACCAGAGGAACTGGATAATCCCAGTTTCCTCGTTGCACCGCCACGAGCTTGGTGTCTACTCGTCTCTATGCATACATGCGAATGTTCAGTTGTTTCGTATACAGTGTACACTTCCCGAGCCAAGCAAGCGAGGAAGCTTCCGTTGATCGAGCAGCGACGTATCATTGGCTCGAGTTCACGGTGCAAAAAGTCTTTGAAAGCGTTTCTGTCACAGGATGAAACCGAGGTGCTGAGTATTCACCAGAAACTAGGAAATCCCAGTTTCCTCGACCTACCGTCGCCATCACGGCGTCTAGACTTCGCTACGCTCCGATGAGCACGTTGATTCGTATACGGTGTCCTGTCCACTTCCTGAACCAAAGCAATCGAAGAAACCTCTGGTCCGAAGAAGTTTCGCGCGAAGGATCTTCGAATCGATCCCCTTCGAGTAAGTCCGTGCCCCGTCCAACGTGTTTCGTTAATCCCTTGTTTGTGGACTTAGCTGACGGACCACAGAGTCGTTCAATAAAGGCAACTCGACGACGTTGTTTAGCAGATGGTTTCTAACGGAGCAGTCTTCGTGCTTGGATTCTGAGTGACGCTGTCGCCCATGCTGGGCATCCCGTGGCTGGTGGTGCTCAGCCCGTTGCCCTGCCTCCCAGCGTTGGTTCTGGGATTCCTGTTGCAGATCCTCTTCAACGCTGCGCGTACCTGGGGCTGGCAGCCAACCACCGCGAAGATCAGCACGCCTTGGAAGGCGTTTATCAAGTCGGTGAAGTACCAGATGTATTGAGGTCCGCCGACTACCCATGAGATCACGTCGGCCACCCAAGTAATTCCCATCACCACTACTAGCTTCATGCAGATTCGACCCAGAGCAGCTCTGAAACAGAAACCAGTTTCTTTCGTTAATTTAACTGGTGGGCGGTGAATTTGGGAGCAAGGGGAAATGATCTCCATTAAAATCGACCGCTAATAAATCATGAGCTTGATACAGATTTGATTTTACCTTTGATTATGAGTGTTGTTTACATTGATAGGTAGAGCCAAATATTGGAATTGACCTACGCAAATGCAACCACGAGCGTACATAACCGTGTTAGAGTAAGGCTTTTTTATAGATACCAACGCTACTTCTATTACTATTAATTGTATCGATGAAGTACACTAAACGTTAAAGTGGATTCACGTTTGCCTTAGATACATTGTGCTGTTTTGAGTTTCAATCGAATTTAAGGGGCGCATTATTCCGGATTCATTTTGAAAAATAAAATTGGTTCGAGTACCGATTAAACTTTTCTCATTTTAACATCCAAATGGCCGCAAAAGAATGCGAACGTTCCGTAAATACAGTGGGAGATGAAACATGGTCCGTGATTAAAAAAGTTCGCGAAACGGTGCTATGAATAGTCTCAATTGGTCGGAGGGAATTCGGTTAGGTCTTCCTACGGTTTGTCTTAATGTTCTTTTCGATACCCCCATGAATCCAGTTTAACGGCTCCATTTATCACCAATTTTGTATCGCAGGAAGACATTGGGCAAGTCCTCGCCAAATCTATTACGTGTACTTGTCTCCATATATTTCTTTATAATAATTGATAATTTATACGCTAGATATAATTTTCAATTTTTATAATAAGAACAATTTCGTACCTTTTCTAATAGAATTTAACAAAGACTTGCACGGAAACTTACAGTTCCGGTAACTTACAGTTACATTTATAAAATAAATAAAGCAGCTAAATGAAATTGAATCGAAACTGGTTCGTTTACAGCGACTACAAATGGAAACTGGCAACAACGATGGGTTCTTTTCAGTAGGAAAAACGTGGTCCATTCAGTGGTAACGTCCCGTTATCGAGCATCGCGGGAAACTCAACGAATTTCCGGCGACAAAAACCACCCCGATTCAATTAGCACGGCGTTCAATTACGACGTGCATAAATCAGCCCCGCAAACGTATCCGTTTGTTCGGGCATGACACGGTGCGCTGCTAACGTAATGTATGCATCGCATTGTGGTCGAAGTCAAAGCATTATTAATACGTTCCGGCAGAATATTCGCAGCTCGTTACGGTGTCGTGTCGCGAAATTACGGCAACACGAGTCTCCCGACCCTCTTTCCCTTCATCCGTTTCCGTACCCACTTGCCAGAAACCTGAGTTGTCTCATCTCTGAACGCGTAGTCGTAGGTTACACGTTAACATTCTTGAAAAGAAATGAAACGTTCAGAACTAAACTCATTTTCGTACCAACTAGAGTTCTTCACTCGCTAGTCGCTAATACACCGAAGCCATGAATTTTACTTGTATCGATTGAATACATTCGATACTATAATTCTCTTTCTAAATTAGCAGTTGATTCGTTGCATTCGGTCCACCGGGATGCAAAGAATCATCAACGGACATTCAACGGCATTAACTATGGATGAATATTTCTAACTTCGTTTTATTCATCCGCCCGATCAATTTAAACAGAAACAGCGCGATAATATTATTTACAGTTCGCTCGCGTCGCGAAAATCCGGAACCAATCGGAATCGTATCGCGTCGCTGATAAAATCAAACACAGACCGTTGGCGGCATAATCGAAGTCTAATGGAAATATTGCCGATATGCAACTATAAATGATGGAGGCTCTTTTTTATTATTGATCCAGTTTCATGCGCAGCGAATCGTGCGGCGGGGCACGCATGTTATTATTTTCGAATCAAAGTTTCATTCGTACTGAAAAATTCATCGGGGCAATCATGTAGGACCCCGTGGAACGAATCGAAACAATGGAAAGTAGAAGAGGGACCCGGTAATCATTGGGTAAAATTATAATTTGAATTGTGAAATGGACAAGTTTAATATTGTTGAATGAACGAGAACGAGAGGTACAGAGCCGAGGAATGAAAACACACGGTCGATCACCTGCGAACAGCTGCACGAAAGAATCACGAATACCCCTTCGAAGAAGACAGGAGCTGAAGGAAGGTTGTAAAGAAGAGGACCGAACCAGAGCCGTGAAATCGGCTTTGTCGACGAGAGACGTCGATGACAAAGGAGCCAGAATCATCTTTAAATATACGAAATTCGGTTCCCATTCTTATCTAACACCATCTTGGATTCGACTGAGGTCTCTGTGACCTGCTCTGGCGTTTAACCTAGTGTATTCTAAAGTAGAGAAATCCTCGCGATTCGAAAAGGGCAGGGAACAAATGTTTGAATCCATTGGAATTGAACACAGCTGAATAATTGTTAACGTTCCACCTCAAATATGATATTTGAAATATCACAACCGTAAGTTAGTATTCCGGGTTAATGCAAGTGCCCATTCATCGCGTGTTTCTTTTTAGAAGAATATTTCAGCGCTTCCGGCCCAGCTGCTCAGAAAAAGGTACGTGCCGCGTGTCAGAAAATGACTGACGCGTGAAACAGAGAGAGGCGGTAGGTCTCGAAAAACAAATTCCCACGCAGAACAGCAATGGTACACGAGTACACGAGTATAAAAGAAAAGCAAAACGTCGGAGACGTCATCGCGGAGTAACGAACGCGTGGAAACGAAATCGCGGAACGCGCGTGGGGGAGGAACACGACAAGAGCGAAGGAAAATGATTCGCGGCAGACAGCCGCGAGTATTTTTATTCGATGCTTCAAATTAATGCCAGTCGGCGAGTATCCGAAAGAAAGAAGGATCGATCGCCGAGCCACCGACGAGTTAATTGACGTAACGAGATGGAAGGGTGGATATGGATTGTTAGCGTCTGCCGAGACTGGGAAATATCGACGACATTAATAACGGAAAAAAAGAAGGATGAAGTAATAAAAAAAAAAAAAAAAAAAGAAAAGAAGAGAGGAACACTGGGGAAACGGCACGAGGATCGTCGATATACGCCCTCGAGAGAGCTCGTTATCGCCGTTATAATGCGACATCAGACGTTTATTTTGTAGTGACCAGTTGCGTCTAGACGTAGCTATAAAACGAACGTCCTTGTTTGCAACGGCCGAGGATGTATCAACTTTTTGCGGCCCGTCCATTAGGATAAGAAAAGAATCGCGGATGTAAGAGACACGCCATCGCCGGTAACGCGAGTACATTTGTAACAGTCCAGAAGGGATTAGCGGGTCACGGTCTGAAAATGATACGGACGTCACGTAACCGACGTAATACTGAAATATTGCGTGCGGTTGCCGACCGCCATATTTACTTTTCTGGTCGTCGTTGAATGCAACAGAGGGAAACCATTGCTCTAAAGTGCAAATAAGCAAGTTTACAGCAAGTTTCTTTCACAATAACGTAAAGTTGCATTTATTCGCCGAAGAAAGGGGACTCGAGTTACTTTGGTACCAGTTGCAGACTTTTCGATTCTCGAAATTTTGATTTCGATAGAAACGTCCAGCGACATGCATCCAGAGGGACCTGCGTCATCCAGCTGACAGTTATAGCGCGTGTTTTACCACGTTCGCGTTTAACGGACAACCTCGTCGCCTCTGGTCCGAGCGTAATTCAAAAGGAGCTTCTTTGAGCGACCCGAGCTTTATTTGTGGCGCGTTTATTTCGGCAACGAAGCCCGAACTTTTAAATCGCCAGCGAACCGGAGTCGGTATGTCATTCAGAGCTGCTTTGTGAATGAACGAGACGCTGGGAGCTTCCTACCGACGTTCGCGTGCTTGGGGCTTACATTGTCGCCGTGTGTTATCGTAGAATGTTCCTGCGACGATTATTCAAACGCCCGAGTCTATTTAATTGGGCAATTAGCACCCGAATAATTCTTTCCTGCGATTTCTATATCCGTGGGGCGATGGATCACGGTGTCCATAACGATATGATTTCGCACAGGTTCGTTCTTTGAAGCTGCGAAACTCCATTTTTAAAACTTAATACGAATTATCCTCGTGAGTGGTGTCTGTCTAGACAGCGAATTAATCTTTCGTTATTAGTCGGGACCAAATGAGTTCATATTTTATCGATTTATACTCTGGACTACCCTCTCGTAAGATTAAAAATATTTCCATACGGAATCTAAACCCCAAAGCACGACCTACGCAACGCGACGCCATATTTTAGTAGCTTTCTGCGCGGCGTGCTCGAAAAAAGCCACAGCGGTTCGGGAACGCAGGAAAACATCGCGTTAACATAGATCCGCGGGTCAACCTTCACGGAGATCAGCACCGTTTCTATTTTTAAGCCGCCATATTTATTTCTGCTCCTTAAAAAAGATCCTACATGTTTTTCGCTGCAATGCAGACCCCGTCGTATACAATCGCGTGCGCTTTGAAAAATACTCGAGCATGAGTTACTCGGTGAGCCGTATTGTTTTACAAGCAACCGTTCACCATTCTGAGTCATCCTCGGATAAATGAACCTCTTTGTGTACATCCTAAAAGAATGCACCGGCCGCTCGGGGAAGATTGTGCCAACCATAGAAACGAAGTTGCTAATTCACTGTACATTTTCTTATCGTACAGAGGTGGTCGAGTTTCTTTTCGATTCGTAGTATAGCCGAGTCGAATGACCGAGGGTCACCTCTGGAAATTTAAACAGAACCTGACCCGCCTAAACAATCTAAAGTATCGTACCGGATACAAGTTCTCTCGAACAATTCATCAAGATAATGTGTTTGTTGATGGACCCGACGGCTCGAAATGCCGCGAAGTAACGCTACGTATGTCAATAAACTCTCCTCGCTCTTGAACGATTACACTAACATCCGTCATAAATTTCGACACTTTTTAAGAAATTCGCGTACGCACTATTTCGTACATTTCCTAGATTCGAAATTTCACGTTTCTCTTCCGGAACATGATAAATAACCTTACTTCGACGTTCGAAATGTTCCAACGCCGCGATGAATTCTACGACAAACGAATAAAATAGTTAACAAAGAGATTTCTCGAACGATCCTGTCAGTAATTTCTGTCAGTAGTCCCCGTCCCAAATCCGTATCATCAAGCCGCGGTATTAATTTCCGCCTACGTAAGCAGAGCACACGCATAATCACAATTTTTTCATCGCGACGCGCTTACGCTTAGTCGAATATTCGTATCAGCGTAACGCTCGCCGGATGAAAAAGGACGAGAGCTCCTCGAATATACGGATAGGGATAAAAAAAAAAAAATAGGGGTTGGAGGAACGAATGCATGCTGCGCGAGAGAGAATCTTTATCCGCCGTTACCGTAGCGGCGTTCCAGCCCCGTGCAGACGGACAGAGACTGCGGAGGCTCGACTCGAAAAGAGAATCGCAAATTGAGATCGTCAATATCAATTTCAGCGCGGGACGAGGGAGCAAAGGTGGCACGAAGGGACCCCAGTCGAACGAATGGAAAATAACGATTCGATGCCTGATATCTGTCGGCGCGGCAGTGATAAAATAAATTCTCCTTTGACTCTCGCTCGCTCTATAAAAAGGCTGGCGCGGGTGCGCTGGCATAAATATCCGAAAAAATTGCGGCTCGTCAAACGACGGAGCGCCTAACCAAACCGAGGAGTGGAGAACAATTAAAATATTTCGTTGTTTCGTTACGAATAAAAACATTGGCAGATCAAAAGTATCCTCGCGTGTTAATATCGGTGTGACGTCCTTTACTCCTGAAGAGGGTGGCTGCTGGGGCAACAGAATTCGAAGAACACGACCAGCAACGCGAGAGTCTCGATTTCTAATGTTACCTATGTAGAAAAATCATTTAGATAAAATCGATGGCTGGACCCGAAACTATTGACAGGACCGGTACCAAAGCGAAACGGTTTCTCAGAAAAAGAATTTCAGAAAGTTTTTCACGAATTTTCTGAAATGATAACGTGCAAAGAGAAAGGTTCGGAGGTGAACACCCTTCGAGGCGGATGTCCTGAGGCCGCGCGTGTTCGGTGATCCCGATTGTCCACGCTCGCGTATCAAAAATCACGCGCCGCGATGGAACCAGTCGTCCTTGATATTTATCGGCCCCGAGCGTCGTCCTTCGCGCCGAAATAAAGCCTCGTTTGCCCAGGGCAATAAAAGCGAGCGGCTCGCCTCGGTCTTCGGTGTGTGTATCGCGTTGCATGGAACTGCTTGGAGCGTTTCTGTTCCTCGGCTCCTGTTAATCGCTGTATATCGCGCGCCTTCCGCGCCGGGAACCAAATAAACGAGCTTCTTTAACTACGCCGCAACGCGGTTTAAGGTTTCCCCAGGTTTGCCAACCGCGGTAATCGTTCTCCCCGGAGTTCCTCGCGATTTCGAGGAAACGAACTTGTCGATTGTATCACGGGAATGTAACGGGAACCCTTGAAGTATTTTCCACGAACTTTCGTTGGATCTGATTGGTCGAAGTTGGAGAAGGATTTAGGGAAGAAGCCGTAAACGACGAGATTTGGCGTAAACTTGAAACATTTTGAGCCTGGGGACAAATATGGGGCTATCTTGAATCCGAAAGGGACGAAGAGTCTTAGGACAGCGGAGAAAAGTGTTAGCGTTGCTTAGACTTGGCGTGATCTAGATCTCTCTCTAGATCTCTCTCTAGATCTTCTTTAAAATTCTTCTTTGTAAACCATATTTACGAGCGTTACTTTGCCAATCGTTTATTAAAATAACCGAAGTCAAACGCGACTCGAAAGGGAAATTTTTGCAGAGAGCACGGTTCGCGCGAGATCCTCAGGGCAACTCGCTCCGACATTTCTGAACTTTTCTTTCGAAAGTTATAAAAGAGTCGGGCTGTTAAACGTTCATGGAAAAAATGGCGGTAAATATTTGCTGGAAGCAAAGGCGATGCACGGTCAAACGGATCGCAGACTCGAGGTGCGGGGAGCGTGTTTGCGGATCTGGCAATTCGTCCGGGAAGCTACCAGGTAAATATTTCTTTTTCTCTCACGGATACGCTCGGAACAGGCGTATACGTCGGGGCAAGACTGACGCGAATCTCGAGGAACCGCGCTGGTAAATCGCGTCGGAACTTAATTTAGAGCGACGATATACCGATCCGCGTTTCACGTTTTTCCTGCTCATCGAAATGTGTACATAAGTGGGAAACATAACCAATCGATGTTTGCCTGTTTGCCTTGGCTTCGCTATATTTAATATAAAAAGATTCGCTTACCTTTCCGTGGTGCTCTTGACGAATTCACCCTTCCACAAGCCGCACGTCAGCTCGCGAGCAGTTGCCGCAAAGAACAGGAGATTCACTGCAAGGAGGATGCCGATGGGCCCGAAGAAGTACGCCAGGATCTCCATGTCTCCTGCAACAGGAAGTTAAAAACTTTGTAATAATTTTCAGCGAAACGTATCTGTAACCCGATGGCAATTTCCGTGCAGTCACCCGTTCGTCTCAAGCTGAGGGAGCCTTTCTTTGAACCCTTTCCTGCTGAACGCTAAGTATTTGTTTATAAATTCATATTTTCCACCATACGTTCATGTTTGCTCTAAACGAAATTTGGACTGCGACAGGAGCGCAACGATATCGACGCTCGCTATTCTAATAAACGTTACAATGCATACGGAGCCCGCGGAAGTTGATACAAATTAACGAGACACTTTCATTTATTGCACAAGCATGTTTCCCTAAATCGTGACAAGCAGGAACGCGTATTTTATTTACAAAACACACTTGCAGCTTTCCCAGTGGCACGAGAAAAGAAATCGGACCTGGAAACGCTCGAAATAGTATGTATCCTCGTTGCTCCGTGTCCGATGCGCGGTGTTCAATAATAAACGTTGCGATCAGTTGAATGGCGAGCCGGTTTATCTTTACAACGTTTAATTCAACCGGGTGCGTTCGCAGCGGCGCGATTCATCGTCGGGTCGCGGGAAACGTAGAACGTGCTGTTTTGCCGCTCGTTAACCGGAAGTCGAAGCCACGCATCGTGTACCAGTCGGCCATTAACGATTAAACTATTACGCGAAATTGTGGCTACCAGGGTGAACGACTTTGGTGGCGTGGCTAGGTTGTCGTGCTTTGCTTATTGTGTTTTCGAACCGCTTGCTTGTTATCACGAGACGAGAAAATCGCTTTGAGTCGGCCACATCCGAGACCCAACACCTAATACCCCAGTCAGACCTAATTGAAACAGCTAATACCAGACTTCCGAGTATATTTTTGTAACCTTATCGTGGTAGGCGAAGGTGGACTGTTTCCTAGTGATATCTAGAGATACACTAAGTCTAAAGGGATGTAAAAGTCTTGTATATCTTTTTAAATCAAGCATGGAGAAATGCCAATCCCGCATTCCTCCGAGCTTTTCTTTTCTGCTTGTGGAAACGTGTTTTCGAATAAAGTATCGCAACTATGCCACTCGCGATAACACTGCGAAAATATATAAACGTTCGATAAAAATTCCTTGTTGTTTTGTCACCGGGTTACTTCACAAACTACGAATTCTTTTGAGTAAAAAAAAAAAAAAAAACAAGGAAAGAATTTATTTTAAACGATAATATATCGAAAAACTCGTACGGAAAAATCGTACGAGGTGTATGTGGGAAGTAAAATAACTGCTAAGAGAAACTGATATATGGACGTGGTAACGTGATACCGTTGAAATGTAAAGGAGTTAGATGCACGTAGACGTTCGAAGAGGAATCCTAGAACAAATACCTTTGAAAATAAAAAAAAATTCGAGCAACTACAACCGAACGGAGGGAGAAATTCCCTCGACGGATCCGCTTCCCAGTGAATAGGAAACGAACTCAAGGATGAGTTCCGCGGGAATGAGGAATAACGATAGGCAAAGCGGCTCGATAATCGATGACAGACAAATAAATCTGGCGACGGCTGACGACGATCGTTCCCGCGTTTTCACGGAACACCGGAACTCCTCTGTATACGAACGACAGATAAATCGTTTCATTCCACTCGGTTGCCTTCTGATTTTCGCTACCCTGTTCGCGGAATCGCTGGTTCGCTCGACACTGTTTCTTTCGAATTTTAATTCTCATCCAGACCCATACGTTTCAAACTGAATAAAAGATAAACAGCTTTATTTCTCAAGTACTTTCGATACAGCGTATTTGTGGATACAAATAATATACACTGCGAGTCAGACAAAAAATGAATGAATCGCAGAGCATGTTTTACATTCCTGATCTATGCCGACCGCGATTGGCAAATTTCATTAAAGAGATTGTAAAGTACGTCGTGAGCGAACGAGTTCTGCGAACGTAAACAAGGTCGCCTCTGAAGTATTCGTTTCAAGAGTTCGAGGTATAAAGATCTCCGTGGATCAAGTGTTGGACGAGTTCATAAATACCACTTGCTTGCTTTAGTTGACGCCGCGTGTGAATTGGTGGCCCATCTACAGTTTGTAATTGGAACGTTCCGATTGCAAAATGGACTGAAAATAGAAGAGTTCTACGAACGTAAATAGGATTTGCTCATACTTTCTTGTCTCGAAACTTGCCGAGCGTCGATTCAAGGACTGCGCGAATTCTACGCAATTATCTCCGCGGTATCACAAATATTGAGATCTTATCGATCGTAAAATATGTCGGAGTTAGACGATTTCGACGAATAATAAACAAACGTCGCCGTTGGTTACTTGTTTCATGAAATTCGAAGTGTACATTAAACGAATCTGTATATTTCGCAGGAGTTTCCTGATGTCTATTTCGGATTGATCATCTGGTGCACGGCATGCATCTGCGCGGATGATTATTATTAACTGCCGATCGTAAAGTTTGTCGAAATTAGACGATTTCTGGGAACGTAAATAATATCGAACATTCAGAAGGAGAATTCGCTCTCCCAAAAATTGCAACTTTTAACGTATCGAAACTTGTACAATTTTTTATTGATTTCTTTTGTATCTGGATGAAAATTTGTTAGAGTACGCGTGATAGAGGAAACATACACGAGGTATCGTTTCCGGTGAAAAAATAATCCCAAGGACGAACGGGAGCGAAAATAAAACGGGCCAGAAAATGTCGTGAAAGCTGCAAATAGATCGATAATTCACGGGAAGGCGGAATAAATCGTTGGGCTACGGCTCACCGACAGGAACAGTTTGTTTTCGTAGCATATGTAGGCAGAGCGCGGTACACGGTCAAAGGAAACGCACGTTGTCATACGTTCAGGGTTGGCATGGTAGCAAACTACGTACTGCATTGGAAGAGAGACTAGTACAATTTTATATAAATGAGCGAAGAAGGAACACCCAGTGAAACTCTTTTTTTAACCGACTTCGAAAAGGAGGAGGTTACTAAATTCGACATGTATATTTTCTCTTTTCTACCTATTAGATCCGAGGTTCCTAAATCGAAGATTGCGTCCAGATATTTGTAAATGTAACTCCACCTTCGATTCTTGTATGCCTTAAGCCACGTTACAACCACCAAGTATTTCCGCAACGTAGTTCCATCCATTTTCAATGATTCGACTAGTCCACGTCGAAGACTCGAGCGCGGAAGAGTAGCTCAATATGCGCGGAGAATAACATCGAAATCATTACGTTAAAAGGACCCAGGCGGACTACAACGCGTGTATTTTAATTAGTTCGTCCGATACTTTCAATATCCCGCGCCTCGACGTCGTTAATTGGATCCATTTATTTCCCTTTCGAAGATCCCATTACGCCCGATTCGAATTTTCGGATATTTCTCGTGGTTACGTCTCCCCCTCTCCAGGGCCCCGCGTGTCATTATTCTCTGCAATTCTCATTGTTTCGTTACGCTCTTCGTTCGGACTCGTTATCCGAAACGATTTGGAGAACGGTCTGGCGTTACACGAAAATTAACGTTGCTCTGTGCGAGCTTCTTTCGCCGTAAATCAATACGAGGCATTTGTTTCCAATGAAATTCCAGGTGCAAATTAATTTTCTAAAAAATCGCTTCTGGCAAAACTTAACTCTCAGTCAGGAACGTGAAATTCCAGAATTTTCCAAAAATAAATCCCAATCGAACACAATAGAATAAACATTAAAAATATACATCACAGATAGACCTTTCGTCGCCAATTATTCGCACAGAATTCAGCCCCATCTCCGCTCCGAGCTTCCGGGGCCTAATCTCGACGATTCCTCGCTCCCATCCGTTCCTCCACGCGAGAGCCTAATCACAGCCACGATTCCCTTCGAGTCTCCTCTATTCCCGCGAGCCGAACGGTGGGAAAGCGAGCGGGAAACGTTTGCTGCTTAGGCGAAAGTCGCAGGGCACGGAATTCTCGCGTCTAGCACGCGAATCCGTCGATCACCCCTCGCGTTCCCGCTGTTCTTGGCTGAAATTACGTCGAATCACGGCAGCGTGCACTTATCGAGTCCCGTAGGCGGAGAAAAGCGCGGATCGAGGGACGGGTGCGTGTCTGGATCCGTGCAAGATCGCGAAATCCACGGAATTCGCGGAAACACCTATGAATATGAATACGTTCGTTCCCGATCTAATACCGGGGGGCTAGTTTTCGTGAATACCCGCCTCGCGGCCCGAGTAGGCAATCTGCTAAGTATACGCGCAGAAGGGAAGCGCTGGATAACTAGTTTCCAAGTAAATTGATACGTCGGGGTAGGCTGCATTTACCGCGGGACCCTCTCCCCTTTTACAATGTTTTCATGCACGTGTGCCCGAGCTGCGTCGAATCGCGGCTCCAGGAGAAACCAACTTTTTTCTTGACAGTAATAATCCACGAGTACAATTACCGGGTCGATGAGTAATTGAGGCGGTTGGGAGAGTCGCGCAGCTGGCTCGAGTCGGGGGCGAAACTTCTTCTTTCTTTTATTTTTCTCCCTGTTTGACTACGGGGTTGGCTATGTTGGATGGTTACTGCAATCGAATCCATGTAAATCATCCTGCGAGGGTAGGTAGTTTTCTAACTATATATTTTTGTAAATTTATTTAGTACTCTACGATGGAAACTGTTGGGCGTTGGTTCTACTCGTCGTCTATTTTTGCAGTGAAATTTTGCCCATCTCTGATTCGATTTCACGCGAACGGAGAACGGGGCTGGTCGATGGACGAGGAACTTCCGATTGGAAGAAACAGGGGTTTCGATTTTCCTGCTCGACGACCGATCATCGTTGTTTCCACGATAAAACGCTCGATTCGAAGTTAAACGATCCTTTATTCGCGCTTTTATCTCGGGGATCGGTGCGCGGCATCCGGCCGTGTTTTTCAACTCGAATGACGCTGACCTGCGGTCGAGCACGTGTTACTCCCATCGTGTAAAGAATAAACCTTTTTCCCACCAGCCGTGAAAGTTTTTACTCTAACTTTTTTTTTTTATTTTCAGTTTGATATTTCTGTAGATTACGATTCGTAA